AAAAAAAAAAAAAAAGATATCACAACACTCCAAACGAAACTAAGAATAAAATACAGAAATCTTAAAATGCATAGTTGTACTCATTATCTGCTATCCTTATGCACTCTGACTTAAATATGCTACTTTATTTCCTTAATAATTCTATTCCTGAATGAACTACACAAACTAATCGTTCAATAGTTTTTGTTTTGTTTTCAGAACTATTTCCTAAATACACTACATATATCAGAGGTAGAAAAATAAGTTTTTACTTTTATAACATTAATAAAATATGGCAATGATTTTTAAAAAAATAATTTTTTACTTGAAATTATTCTAAATTTGCATATTCATATTAGGTACACAAAGAAATCAAAGAACAAGCAAAGTAAAAATAGAGCAACAGTGCTTTATATACTACATCAGAATGCTTTAACTTGTAATAAATTATTTTAGGCAAAGATATATTTAAAATAAAATAGGCAACATTACTTTACCAGTAAACGATATATCCTAAGTAGTCTCAGATTCTTCCTTAGCACATCTACTGTTAATTTTATTTATCTAAACACTTTCTTGAACTGTTTTAATGGTAACTCATATACTAAATATTTAAGACATATTTTACATGAGGTTAAATAAATAAATAAAATATATTCATGTTCGCCTAGATTTCGATGTTATACCAATGTACACATGTCAAAACTCTTCTAAGTCAGCAAGAATATTATACATTCTGTTTTCTGGGTTGGTCAATTTGAACGTATGTACGAAATCAGGTAAACAGTAAATAACAACACAAGCAGTTTCCACTTATAAATTACTGCTTAATTGAGAGACAATGAAATATATAATTTTCCTTTAAGACAGAAAGGTTAGATATCATCTTGCTTTTTGCTTACTTGTCTATTTTGAAGTCATTCTAATTTCTTTATTTCTCCAACTGAAATATTTTGTTTTTTCCTCCCATTTCAAAAACTGTACAAAGCTTGTTTTCAGACTAGTTCAGTGCTACTCAAAATGTGGTACACAGACCAGCTGCCAGTTTTGAACTCTTTCTTTGTTACTGGTCCAAGAGAGATAAAGAATCAGCTACATCACTATGTCTACTGTTAAGTTCACCTGATATTTTTTAGTAGCAAAACTTTCTCACGAAGGAAGCAAGATGTTAATTTACATTGAGATGCAAGTTCCGCATATCATCAAACTGGTACTTTTAATAGCACTAACTAAATGACAAAAAAAACAAAAAACAAAAAAAAAACCACAAACCATTATGATACTATCAAGGTATAAACAACCAGTTTCAGTATAATTGAGTTTGCAAAATTTCATTAAAAAATGTATGTATTTAAAATGTTTTCAGTACACAAATCCAGTTTCAATTAAACTACTAAGATAGATCTCTTTTAAACTATCACATGAAAATCATAAGACATTTCTACCTTGTCTCCTCAATTGGTGATCATGACAACTTAAAACACAGGAAAGAAGATACAGACTCTTAAACAATCATCTTTTTGAGCAAAAAACCCCAAATACATCTTAACTAATTACTTGGAATTTAAATTAAATGGATTTAGGAAAATACTGCCCCTCTCCTTTTGAGTCACTTTTCTAAGCATTAATTGTATATGTTTATGACATAAAAATGTATTTTCAAAATATCTGTAAAATGTAACTTATTTTTAATGGTTACATAACATAAAAGACTTCAATAATAAAACAGTAAACAGATTTTGACTTATACAGACCTCATTTAGACACCGTTTCTTTGTGAATATATTTCTAATAAAGGTTTCCTGAATTTCTTCCTGCTTCACTAGGTACTGCCAAAGCCTCTTCACAGACAGTGCCAGATGGTGTTTGGATCTACAGAGAGACAGCAAATTTAATTATACACGTTAGAGATTTCTTATTAACTTGATCACAATTCCTTGGTACTATATGAATATTCATTATAATAAATTAACTAGAATCAGACCATACGATCTAGGGAAAAACTAGGCAAGCTTTTTCCTAAAGGATGAGACAGTAAAGATTTTGGGCTTCGTGGACCATATAGTCTCTGTCGTGACTACTCAACTCTGCCGTTGCACAGGTTACGTATCCCTCATCCAAAATGCTCGAGACCAGAAGTATTTTGAATTTCATGTTTTTTCAGATTTTGGAACATTTGAATATACATAATCAGATACCTTGGGGATGGGACCCAAGTCTAAACACAAAATTCATTTATAAATATACACATAACCTGAAGATAATCTTATATAATATTTTTAGTAATTTTGTACATGAAACAAAGTTTGTGTTAAGTACTTATGTGTGGAATTTTCTACTTGTGGCACCATGTGGGTGTTCAAAAAGATTCAAATTTCCGAGAATTCTGGACTTTGGATTTTCAGATTAGGGATGTTCAACCTACAGTGGGAAAGCAGACATAGGTAATACGCAAATGACATATATCATTATGATCCAATAAGATATTATTTATAAAAGCACAGGGAGGGCTGGATTTGGCCTGAGGGGCTGACCATAGTTTGCTAATCCCTATCCCAGGGCCATAGGATCTAACAAAAACAGGTATGCTTCCTAGAAGTGATCTAGAAGTAGAGCTATTCAAAGTATTGCCTGTGGACACATACCAGTCCACAAACTCTGTTACTGATCAGCAATGAGGTAAGAGCTTCTGCAAAAATGCAAATTAACTATAACACTAAGTAACCCATCTCTCTCTCCTCCTTGCCCACTATCTCTTAGCCCCCGTCAAAAAACAACAAAAAAACTTATAGCACTAAGCCACTAAATACATTGTTTAGTTTAGTTAATATTTTTCATGACAAGACTTTCTTTCTAGATGAAGCAAGCACTGCACTGAATTACCTTTTGATTCAAACTTTCTTTCCTCTTGGACAGTAAAACAATTGCTAACTTGCAATTTTGAATAGCACTGCTCTAGAGCAGGCACCAATAAACTATGGCTCACAGGCCAAATCCAGCCTATCTCCCATTTTCGAAATTAACTTTATTGGACCACAGCCATGCCTATTTGTTTACATATTGCCTATGGCTGCTTTTACTATATAATGGCAGGGTTGAGTAGTTGTGACAAGGACATACGGTCCGAAAAGCTTAAAATATTTACTACCTGGACTTTTGCAAGAAAAGTTTGCTAACCTCTAGAATACCACAGGCATTACACAATGACACAGATTTGAGTCTAGAACAGCAAATTAAACATAGGCCTTAAATATTTTTTCTCTGAATATTACCTGACAACATTCTGACTTATTAAAACTCCTACCTTAAAAACAGTATCCACAGGAAAACCTACTTGAAAGGAGTGTTTGTAGGTTCCAGTAAAGCTTTGTGGCGGAGAATTGCAGGACCTGCAGACAAACTCTCTTCAGAGATATGACTTGCAATGTAGTTTTGAGGTGGCCCACCAAGGATTTCAAGTCGTCGGAGAAGAACTTGTTCCCAACACTGAAGAGTTTTTAGAACAGCATGACAAAGAGGTGAACTAACTGGAAGCTCTAAAAAGGGAAAATATAATTGACCCACATTTATCTTCTGCAGTAAAATGCTATATTCAATTGTAAGAAAAGACTGAGTGAAGCTATTAACACACACGTTGGCAGAGGAGATGTGGAAGGAGAGACAGGCACAGAAATCTAGTAGATTAAAAAAGGGATGTCATAAATCTGAATAAGCATTTCAACATTACTGCTTTTGACTTTCATTTCACATCAAAAATGTACTAAAGATCATGAAAATATGTGTGGGAGGAAAATTAATTGCTTTAAACCTTTATATCAGCTCAATTTCTGCATGGCACATAATTCTAAGATTTATTTAGAAATTAAAAATAATACACAAAGTAAAAAAAAAAGAGTTAAATAATACTTCCCATGAAACTCAGCACTTCTAGTTCTTCCCCTTCATATTCTTGAGTCCTGATTCCACTTTCAACTTCTGGCTATTCCTGCTATTTACCTCCCCATATCTAAACAACATGTTTCCACAGTGAGTTTTTTTTCTGAGACAGAGTCTCATTTTGTTGCCTGGGCTAGAATGCTGTGGCATCAGCCCAGCTCATAGCAACCTCAAACTCCCGGGCTCAAGCAATCCTTCTGTCTCAGTTTCCCAAGTAGCTGAGACTACAGGCATGCGCCACCATGCCCAGCTAATTTTTTTCTATATATTTTTAGTTGTCCAGCTAATTTCTTTCTATTTTTTTAGTAGAGATGGGGTCTCGCTCTTGCTCAGTCTGGTTTTGAACTCCTGAGCTCAAACAATCCACCCGCCTCGGCCTCCCAGAGTGCTGGGATTACAGGCGTGAGCCACCACGCCTGGCCCATAGTGAGTTCTTGATTTTTCAGTTTTAGTAATAATCTACTGATTTACTACTATAGCATGTGAGAATAAACTTCTTTCTCCATGATTCTAATACAGTCTCAAAATTTTTTGATTACATTGGTATTTTAGTGTTTTCATTATATATATGGAAATACAATTCATAGCTGAACCACTTGGTATATTATCATGCCCCTTTCTTTCCTGTACAACCTTTTCCTCCTTTTGGAGTTAATAATTGCTAGTTTTTGCATTGGCTTAGTTTTCTGTATGTCTATCATTATTAAATCCCTCAACACTTGGCTAGAGCTATAAATAGAGTCTCAATGTAGTCAATCACATCAGGTTCAGTGCTCCTGATTTCTCAGATGTTGCCTTCCTGACACATTTACAGATGGCTGGTTTGGTTGAAAGAAACCTATCTTCTACAATAGAAAGTTACTAAACTTTTTTCTCCTCTATTTAAACAAATACAGAATAGTAAATCAAAAGTAATGGCATCCCTCAGTTCATGTTAAGATATTTATTACCTGCAAGATCATGACCTGCAAAGGGATAGAAAGTCTTCAAATTGCTGAGCACCAATTGCACCATTGCCAATCGCATCAATGACCAACTAAAAATAAAGCAATAATGGATCCATTAAAGATTTATATATGGATTTTAAAGAGTACACCACCCTTTGAGCCAATAATTCCACTATTAGGAATCTACCCTGAAGATATTCCTCCACAAAACAAAAGAATATATGCATACAGTTACTCATGTCAGCATTATATAGCACAAGAGCAGAAACAGCCAAATTTCCACCAGGAGATTACTATTTGAATAACTAGTTTTGAACTATGGAATATCAGCGTAACCATAAAGAAGTTCCACCATGTTTTAAATAAAAAGCAAGTTGGAGAATACTATATATGGTATGTGACCCTCTGCGTAAGAAAGGAGGGGAAATAAGATTATACATATGCATTTGCTTATTTTTGCAACAGAAGGATAAACCAGAAACTAATAAAAGTGGTTATACATAGAGGGTGTAAAGAAGGAACTGGGTGGAGAAAATAGAAATGTAAGTGAGACTTCCAATTTCACATTTTTATATAGTTTGACTTTAAACAAAGGTATTTCAGCTTTTCATTTATTTCAAGCGAAACACATTTATTTCTTAAAGTATTGGCTTTTTAGTTATTTTTTAACTGTGGTAAAAAACGCATAACATAAAACTTATTATTTTAGCTTTTTTTTTTTTTTTTTTGAGACAGGGTCTTGCTCTGTTGCCAGGACTAAAGTGCAGCGACATCATCACAGATCACTGGCAACCTCAACTCCTAGGCTCAGGTGATCTTCCTGCCTCAGCCTCCTGGGTAACTGGGACTATAGGCATGCACCACCACGCCCAGTTAATTTTTCTATTTTTTGTAGAGATGAGGTCTCACTCTTCCTCAGGCTGGTCTTGAATTCCTGGGCTCAAGTGATCCTCCTGCCTTGGCCTCCCAAAGTGCTAGGATCACAGATGTGAGCCACCACGCCTGGCTTATTTTAACTATTTTAAGTACGCAGTTCAACAACATTAAATACATTCACACTGTTCTGCAACCACCACTATCATCCATCTCCAGAATGCTTTTCGTCTTGCAAAACTGTAACTCTTCACTCATTCAACAATAACTCCCCGTTCTTCCCCTTCCCCAACCCCTGGCAACCACTGTTCTATTTTTAGTCTCTATGGATTTGAGTATTCTGGGTACTTCATATAAGTGAAATCACACACTATTTCCCTTTTTGTGACTGACTTCACTCAGCATAATGTCCACAAGGTTCATTCATATTGTAGCATGTGTCAGAATTTCCCTCCTATTTAAGGCTGAATAATATTCTATTGTATGTACACAGGACATTTGTTCATTCATCTGTTGACAGACGCTTGGATTGTTTTCTCCCATTGGTTACTGCAAATAATGCTGCTATGAACACAGGTATATAAATATCTGTTCAAATCCCTGCTTTCAATTCTTTGGGGTATATACCCAGAAGTGGAATTGCTGGATCATTTGGTAATTCTATTTTAAATTTTTTGAGACACTACTATACCGTTTCCCATGGTAGCTGCACTATTTTACATTCCCACCAGCAGGGCACAAAGGTTCCAATTTCTTCCCATCCTTGCCAACTCTCTTTTTTTTATAGTAGCCATCCTAATGAGTATGGGATGGTATCGCATTGTGGGCTGTAATGTCTAAGTCTTTTGTTCATTTTTTAGTTAAGTTATTTTTTGTCGCTGTTGAGTTATACAATTTGACTTTTGAGCCATGTGAATATTTTATATATTCAAAAAGTAAAATTGATTCAAAGGTGTAATAAAAACCGATATACCAGTAAGTAAAAATCTTATAATAATTTTCATTAAAGAATGACTTCATGTCACTAATATACTTCTTTGGGAAAATTCATATTTTTATTACACCAGGAACATACTATGTTTTAATAAAAATATGCACCTTTTAGATATAAACATATCAATAGAGACAAGATAATATTCCATCACTCATGAATGTAAGAGTAATGCAGGATTGGAGCTGGAGGTGAACATTCTGAACATTTTTGATAGTACTTATTGATAACTTACAGTACTAATGTTCTTCTGTACTATGGATTTTCTAGGCTAAAACAGTGGAATTTGTTTATATTAAGGTCCAAAAAGGCATAATTTGGAGCAGGATTTGTGAGATATGATACAAATCATAGATGGTCTACTCATGGATAATCAAAAGTTAACTGAGAAATTATTGTTAAGGAAATAAATTTAACAATTTTAACCAAAGTAATCTGAGTTATAATATTAATATAATTCACCAAGCCATTAATTTCACAGATATTATTTTCAAAAATATTATTTATATAAACCATGATGATTTTTTAAAAGAAGCTTAAATCTGCGATCCTTAAGGAGAGCTAAAAAAAAAAAAAAAAAAGGAAGCTTAAAGTGAAATACTCCATACCTATATGAATTTGAATTAGAATGCTCCTGGAGATGGAAATCTGATGCTAAAACATCATCATCATCATCATCATCATCACTTTCCAGGCTCTCCTCTGAATCATATTCTGCTCGACTTTGGGAAGGGGGTAGAAAAGGCTAAAATAAAATAATTATGCAATTTATCATCCAAATACCTGATTTAATATATTCATATAGTCTGATAGTAACAATTCATAACATTTACATATACTTCCTTATAAGTAACTATTGCCATTCTGCGCTTTTGACATCACTTTACACAATTCTCTTATTTATTCATCCAGCCAACAAAAAATTTAAGTATCCACTATGTGTCAAAAGTGTACTTGATGCAAGAATTAACATGGATACAGTTACTGCTCTTATAGCGTTTACATTTTAGCAGAAAAGACAGGCAAATAACAGAAAATTAAATGCGAAGTGTATTATGTGCTATAAAGAAAAAAAAAAAGGGGCCGGGCGCGGTGGCTCACGCCTGTAATCCTAGCACTCTGGGAGGCCGAGGCGGGCGGATTGTTTCAGCTCAGGAGTTCGAGACCAGCCTGAGCAAGAGCGAGACCCCGTCTCTACTAAAATTAGAAAGAAATTAATTGGACAACTAAAAATATATAGAAAAAATTAGCCGGGCATGGTGGCGTACGCCTGTAGTCCCAGCTACCGAGGAGGCTGAGGCAGAAGGATTGCTTGAGCCAAGAAGTTTGAGGTTGCTGTGAGCTAGGCTGACGCCACGGCACTCTAGCCCGGGCAACACAGTGAGACTCTGTCTCAAAAAAAAAAAAAAAAAAAAAAAGAGAGAAAAGAGTTGAGATGGAGAATAAGGAGAACTGAGATCACAGAAGGCCTCTTTGAAAAGTGGTATTTAAGTGAGACCTAAAGGACAGAAGGAAGAAGCTATATAACAAGAAGGAAGAAAAGCATCTTAGGCAGTGGAAATAGCATGCCGAAAGGCTCTAAAATGGGAAAGAGTCTGGTGTGGAAAAAAAGAAGTCTGGCAGAAGTCTGCTAAGCAAGAGGATAAGTGTTGAAAGGTTGAAGAGCATAGCAGATGACAGCTCAGATGGGGTCTTATAGGCTATGATAAAGTGTAATGGGATGTCACTAGTAAGTTTTAGGTAGAGGACAGGTACTGAGATTTGTATGCTAAGAATATTGCTATGACCACTCTCTTATGCGAGAAAACTCAAATAGCAAGAGCAGAAATGGGGACATCAGTAACTAAAGCAAGAGTTGGCAGTCCGGATATAGGCGTTACATGACAAAGTTGGAAAGAAATAACAGACTCAAGATGTATTTTAGAGAAAGCTCTGACAGATTTGCTGATACATTTGGAGAGCAAAGGCAAGTGAGGAAAAAAGAACAATTCCTGGGTTTCTGGCTTGAGCAACTCTAAAGATAAAGGTGCCATTTACTAAAATAGAAGGACTATGGGTATAAGAGGGGAGAGGTTGGAGAAAATAAATATCAAATCCCGAAAACTTGGAGACAACCAAGATTCACGGGTCAAGTAGAAGAAGGGTGAAAAAAGAAGATCATGAAGGAATAAACAGTACGCTTAAGAAAAAAACAAAAACTATGGCCAGACGCAGTGGCTCACGCCTGTAATCCTAGCACTCTGAGAGGCCGAGGCAGGAGGATCGCTTGAGCTCAGGAGTTTGAGACCAGCCTGAGCAAGAGTGAGACTCCATCTCTACTAAAAATAGAAAAATTAGCCAGGTGTGGTGGTGTGTGCCCGTAGTCCCAGCTACTTGCCAGGCTGAGGAAGGAAGCTCACTTGAGCCCAGGAGTTTGAGGTTGCTGTGAGTTAGGCTGACGGCACAGCACTTTAGCCCAGGCGACAGAGAAAGACTCTGTCTCAACAACAACAAAAAAGAAACTCCAAGAGATTGGCATCAAGAGAACAAGAGAGAAAAACATTTCAATGAAGGAGGTGGTTAAGTGTATTGAATAATGCAAAAAGGTTAGAAAAGATGATACAAAAAAGTGTCAGTTATATTTGACATAGATATTACCTGAATCTCAACGAGAGCAGTTTCAGTGGGGTAACTGGGTCAGAAATTATACAAGTAAGTATGAAAGGGAAACAAGGTAATAGAAAGAAAATGTGTACACAGTTTTGAAAATTTGAGTGTTGGGACACATTTCTGTTCTGATGAGAAGGAGCCACTACAGAGTAAGAGAACTGAAGACACACAAGAGAGTAGAAAAGAAAAGTGAGGATGAGAGTCAGAATAGAACTGGGGGGAAATGGTCTTTGTTAGGAAGCACTCTTCCTCTATTTTATCAGGATGGAAGAATAAGATGGGAACAAATGTCGATTGGGTTATAACTTATGATGGGATGATGAAAGAATTTTGTTTGATTTTATTTTTCTCAGGGACTTATAAGGTGAAGTCATCAGTTAAGAGTGAGGATAGGATGGAAGACGTGGGAAGTTTGAAAAAAAGTTGTAAAATCTTGGATCTAGGGGAGTCCAATAAAGAAACACAGCAGGGAGGGTGGAACTTCTGGAATAGCTAAATAAAGAGCTTGGTAAATCCTCTCTCTAAAAAGCAACAATAAAACTAGACAAGCTGTCAAAAATGACCAGTGGAAATTGACCAAATGCATACAACACACAGAGAAGCATTCACTTAAGAAAATCTACTGAATCTCGGTAAAACAGTAAGAATTTTAGTCAGAGGCTGTTCCCATCCCACCCCAAACTTTGTGATACGGAAGTTCTATGAGGGCCAGCAGGACAGGCTGTAAGAACTAATAGTTCCAACGTAATGCCAGAAGGGACTGTATTTAAAATGCCATGCCCGTGGGTATTATCAAAAACAACAGAGATTTCATTAGCAAACAGCTCAGGAAGACTAATATCTGAACTTCCTTGAGGTTGTGATACAGACTGGGGTAAGGGCAGATCCCAGAAATTTAATAAGGAAATCCAGGAACAAGAAGCTAAAGAAAGCCTTGCTAACTAACAACCCTATATGCAGCAAAACTATTTTTCAAAAAATGAGGGTGAAATAAAAATATTCCTAGATAAATGAAGTGCTTAGTAAGTATGTGTTGAATGAATAAATGACTCCGCATAAGGCAATGAGGAACAAGGAGATACAAACTCCCTTCAATACCTTGAAGGATGTAGGATATTAAAAAAATAAAACCACAGCTTAACAAGCCTGGGAGATTGGTGTCACCAGAAAATAGTCAGATGTTAATTAATGCAAGGAAGTAAAGAGAACATTCAGAAGTTGAGACTGTGAGGGATTTTGCTGATGACATGAAAAGCAGAATATACATATAGGTAGTCCTTCCTTCGCACTGTAATGCATGACTGTAAAAATGACCAAACAGAAACTATATGAGCAATATTAATAATCAATGGTAAAATGTACCAATATTCTGTGACCTTTAAAAATATCTGTCAAAACACTAAAACCTTTCTTACTGTCAGCTACAATATAAATCTACAATATAAATGTACAGAGAAATTTTTAAAAATAGTAAAACTAATATTTCATATACTATAATTAAAATATTAGAAATACTGAGAATTAAAATGTTTTACTGCTTTGTAAAAAATGTATCAAGAGTAGCTTGAATAGTGATTGCCTTCTTCTAACTCTGTAACTTGGGATATGAAGCAAGCATCCTTTCTATGCCTTAACAAATAGTCGTTATTTCTTTTTCAGTTTGTATCAGCTTCCAGTATTTTATTCTTTGCAGTTTCAATGTTGTGAGTCCTTTTTAATGTAATGTAATGTTTTGGGTTTTTTTTTGCCAAGGTCACTATCTCTGGAACATCTGCATCCTTCCTTATAACTACTTTCTACGTTTACATTGATAAAATTCACCTTTACTAAATTCCTCTGGCTGCACGAGTCTTTTAAATGGTAGCAGTGTCAACATTCTCACAGTTAGCTATTTTTCCTATAACTCTATGTTCATTTTAAATTTCATTCTTAGTACTATTACTTTTCATTTTTTTGTTGCACTTTCATCTGAGTTGGCCAATTCCCTCTTCTGATTATTCAATTTTGTAAAATATCATATGAGTTTATCATGGGAGTCAAGGAAGCAAAACAATTGCATATTTTGCTGTGTGTGAATTGAATGACAAGTGCTAAATGATCAATCACTGACAAACTTTGAACTGACATGATTGGTCACTGATCATGAGGTGTATCTTACCTACGTAGTGATTTCTGGAATAAAGAACTAGCAAGGAAGTTTGTTCTTTATGCAATTACTCACATTTAATATACTATAGTAACTTAAATTTGAACCATGTTTTGGAGGGAGTATTATTTACCTGAACACTAGTCCTCGGAATTCACGCATTATCAGAAAAACGAAGGACTGTCTGCAGTAACAGAAAAGAGCGTGTATGGAGATAGATGACCAAGGCACTTTGATTGCTTAACCACTATCGAGTACATTAGCACGAAGGTGTTAACCAATTTTTCTTTTTATCTAAGAACTTTGTTTTGTTTAAAATGCAAAAGCCATAATTTATCAAAAAATTGCCTGATACTAATGAAAATTTTCTAAACCAGAGTGGAAAAACATTTGGAAGCACCGATAATTACCTTTATTTCAAACACTTTCATTTCCATTTGACTATGTAAATATTGATCTGAATAACACTTTTATTACCTTGGCTATGAAATAGTCCCAGATACTGAGCTCAGGTGGAACGAACTTCTCTTTAACTGCCAGTGACTCCTGGCTTACTGATGGTGAGGAAGAGGTCAATGGGGCAGATTCTCTGCAAGACATTTTTGATGGCCTAAAACGTTTGCTCTGTTTTTCTCCTTCTTCAACTAGTGAAGAAACTAACAAGAAGAAAATAAAGCACTATTAAAGTAAGTTCTATTTTCATTGTACTTATTTCACCTGTCTTTATATAAGATCTAAGGTTAACTACAAGTAAGTATACACACAAAAATAAGATTATGATTAAGTATACAGCAGGCAAGAAAAGGGAAGTAAGACAAAAATCATTCTGTATAGTAACCTCTATTTTTTCCTCAACTTGTCTATCACTCTCTGAATGTTGACTTATCTACAGTATATGCAGGATAAAAGGATGTTATGTCTACCTGTAAACTGGTCTGCAGTTTGGCTAAGAACATGACAAGAAATTTCCTACATCCTAAACTTTGTTTTTTAAAGAATATAATGGGATGCCAATATTAATTAAAAGCAACAGCTCACTTCTGAGATCCTTCAGTAATCACTGGCCTTATATTTACATATAAAACTACAGTTTTCATTAGAAAACATTTTTTAAAATTCGAGCACCATAACTACTCAAACTGTTTCAAACTTTTGGAAATGGCCAGAGATGGAATATTCTAGCCAATGGAATTACAAAAAAGAAAAAATGCAATCATTATTTTACCTTCTAAACACTCTACAGTTAAACAGTCAGTATTCTCTTAGTATTTTGCCTTAGCATATTCAGACATTAGCATTTAAAAAGTTATACAAATCTTTAATCAACACTAAGTCACAGGATGCAAATCACCAGTAGAGAATCAAGGATCTTGCAGACATAGGCATAATCCAATAGGCAAACAATTTCACATTAAGGCACACCAATATTCTCCTTCAATGGTTCCAATGAGGTTTTACTTACCTTCCAAAAGAATACAAATAGTTGTGCTGTAATACAATTTTGTTTTATTGTTTGAAGCTACTCAGCTTGCAGATACAGCATGCACATGCATTATATCAAGCTACAGTAAGCTGAGTTTAACGTAGTAATTTGGTTATTTCAGAAAAAAGGAAAGATGAATAAAATATTAGTATTCTAAGAGTACTAAAAAGTGGTATGATTATTACTTAATCTTTCATTAAATCTGTAAATTTTTTTCTTTGTTCTTATTAACATTTGATAATCAACAATCAAGCTTCCAATATATCTGTTATACACATTAACACAAATTCTAAAAGCTAAACAGTGGTTTTACCAGCTTATCAAGTGAAGAATTTAGAATAGTGTTTTTTTTTAGCCTTTCAAAAAATTAATTCAAAGTTTTAAGATAAATTTATCATTTGACTTTAACATTACTGTTTTGCTTTTTTTTGTTTTTTAAAGAGGCGGGATCTCGCTATATTGTCCTGGCTGGCCTCAAATTCCTGGGCTTAAGTGATTCTCCCACTCAGCCTCCCTAGTAGCTGGCACTACAAGGCACATGCCACTGTGCCTGGCTGCTTTTTTTGTTTTTAAGTTATTAGAAGGGAGGTAAACAAAAAGGTATAGAGACTCTCTGGAAAAATAAAACTTATAAAACAATGCTTAATTAACAGATTTTTGCCAAGATTGCTGTGTCATAAAAAAAATAGTTTTAAAATTAAAACATAGGAAAGTCTTTAAAGAGAAAAAACATTTGAAAGTATAGTCTGTGAATCCAGACACATGACATGAAAATAAGAAACTGACCACACTGGGAAGAAATGTTTAACATTTAGACTCAATTCTAGGAAGTATAAAAACTACTTATCAAAACACTTGAAGAAGAAGGACCAAAGGAAAAACAAAATTGGCAATCAGGTTTACAGTACTAAGTGGTGTATGTATTACTTCAGATACTGTAACTAAGAGGACCTCAGCAATGTCTCTCACCAAACAACAAATGACCTGTGATTTGTCTATAGTTGCTGCATTTTCTTTTCCCTCCAATTGCAGGAAGATTTAAGGCAATGTTATGCTTAAATCCTGTTGGGTTAGATTGGTCATGAAGCTCAGGGGCACCAAAAAGACTATACAGCCGCTGGGTTGTTTCTGAAAATGCTAATAATCAAATATCAAGAATTTCTGCCACAACTTGGGTGAAAACGGACTCTGCTGTTCTATTATGAAGGGGAAAAACTACTTTACTAGTAATAGAAGAAAAAATACCAATCTTAAGGAGAAATAAAAAGGAACTTGGTGTAGAACTTATGAATTTTAAGGGGTATGGAGAGGCTAGAAAGTGGCTAAGGAAAAACCAAGGCATGCACAGGGGAAAAAGTCAGACAAGAATCATGCCTTGACATAAATTTTAAAATAAGTTTCTTAGTTGCTTTGATTCATAGAAAGCATTTTCTAAAAGGAGGCATCCATATTAAGATAGTAGACTATATAAATATACCCTTCTTCCCTTAAGAATACTTTCCTCACCCTCAGCACATGCTGCTGCACTGTGATGTTCTCAGAATTGCAAAAATCACTCCCAAAAGAATTCAAAACACAAACAGAGAAATGATTAAAAGCCTACATCTAAAAAATGGGAATGGAAGGAGAAGAATAAGGAAAACAATGTTGCTTTTTAAAAAATTCTTCTGTACTACTGGATTTGTTATCACATATATCCAGTGATTAAAACTCAAATATAAAGAGGAACTCTTTAACATTTATTTTTTTCAGTTTATTTTAAACCAGACACAATAAAATATTTTGAACATAGACTTAAATGTAATTTCTTTAAAAACTGAATTTAAATGAGACAGCAGAACTATCTCATTCTCTACTTCTTAATCTAAGGCACCCTTATGCCTGGGGCTATTCCTGAGTGTCCCAGAGAGTACAGGAAGCTTCAGGAGGCATATTACCCTGGACCTTCAAATTTACCCCAAAATTTAGGGGGAGAGGAAAAGGTAGATTATTTAACTGATAGTTTAAAACATTTTATGTTGAAAGAAACAGATGTGGAGAAGATAAAAGTGATACAAGTTTAAAATCAAAGAGATTTTAAAATTTATTTCTTGCTTTCAGCAAGCCAATTCAGTATAAGTGCTCTGTCTCCTAAGAGCTATCTATTCACTTTCCTTTATCATCGGGAGTACTTCAGGTAAAAAGTGGGAGAAACACAAATGAATGTGCACTCAAGTATGAAACAAATCTTCAAAACTAAATGTAAAACGTGATTTTACAGGTAAACTTCCAAGATTCCCAAAAGGAAAAGAAGCAATTAAATGAAGGCACTTCTTAATCCTCAAAGAATAAAATTAATGATTAAACACACACAAAAAAAGCCTGACAGATGATACTATCCAGATTTTAGAAAGATTGTTTTTTTTTTTTTTTTTGAGACAGAGTCTCACTGTTTTGCCCGGGCTAGAGTGAGTGCCGTGGCGTCAGCCTAGCTCACAGCAACCTCACACTCCTGGGCTCAAGCGATCCTACTGCCTCAGCCTCCCTAGTAGCTGGGACTACAGGCACGCACCACCATGCTCGGCTAATTTTTTCTATTTTTAGTTGTTTGGTCAATTTTTTTCTATTTGTAGTAGAGATGGTGTCTCGCTATTGCTCAGGCAGGTCCTGAGCTCAAATGATCCGCCCGCCTGGCCTCCCAGAGTGCTAGGATTACAGGCCTGAGCCACCACGCCCCGCCTGATAAATATCTCAATAGAAAGTGATTTGTCTTAAACTAGAGAGCAAGGCAGTCACCAAGGTAGTTGGTATGCAAAATGATTCACTGGAATATGGAAGGAAAATACTATAACTTCTATTTAGATTTATTTTTTAAAAAGTAAGAGGAAGGGGGAGAAGGAGAAGGGAAAAGGTAGAGAGAAAGAAGAGACAAGGGGAGAGGAAAGATAAGGGGCAGGGGGAGAGGGAGGGAGAGGGAAGGAAAGGGAAGAAGGGGAGAGAAGGAAGTAGTAAACGGAAGAAAATAAACTTTGTCAATGTTTAATATCTAGATCAACAGTGGTACTCATAAATATGCATCTACTGAGGGTTTGCTCAAGCGTGTTTTGTGAATAGGGTTATGTAATCAGAAGTCTGGAGATCACTTCCCTAAAGTTTTATTTACTTTTCTGTCACCCTGACTGCCACAACATGATTCTGTCTATAAGATTTCAACTCAAACCCAGCAAACTTATTGAAAATTTGAATACAGTCTATGAAAACCATGGAATATTATTCAGCCTTAAAAAGGAAGGAAGTTCTGTCACATCCTACAACATGAATGAACCTTGAGGACATTACGCTAAGTGAAATAAGCCAGTCACAAAAAGACAAAATACTGTACAATTCCACTTATATGAGGTATATAAAGTAATCAAATTCTTGGAAACAGAAAATAGAATGATGATTACCAAGGATGATTACCAAGAAGGGAAAGAGGATAGTTGTTTAATGGGTATAGTTTCAGATTCGCAAAATGAAAAGTTCTGGAGATGTGTTTCATAACAATGTAACATACTTAACACTACTAAACTGTACATTTAAAAATGGTTAACATGAAAAATCTTGTTATGTGCTTATCATAATAAAAAATTAGAATGGAGAAAATATATCCAAGCCATTCTGCTGCAGGAGTTAGGACTGCCAGAAATATCAGAAAATGGAATTAGAGAGAAATCACATGCTTAGTCTCAGTAGGTATGTAGAAATATTTGAGGGAGTCTAGGGTCAGATAGATGATCTAGATGTTGCATTTCTTATACGGTCAGTTTCTTCCTTTATAATTAGGCTTTAGCAGTGACATAAAAGGATAATGATCTGTAAAAATTAATACATGTGCATTTCTTGGAGGGTTTCTTTTATTTTCTATGCTTCTTCTACCCCTATTATATAAGAATTTACCTTCCCTAGCCATTTATAAAGTGAATGAACAGAACGCTATTTTTTTCTTTACCTTTTTAAACTTCAATTAAAATTTATGTTATATAGCCCTCAACAAAAATTCTAAGATTCTAACAAAAAATATATTCCTTTCCCCAGAAATATTAGTTATTTTGAGGTTCAGCAGCCTTTAAAAAGTTCTTTATAATAAATCATCAGTTAAAAATGTTTGGCATATTCAATTATATTTGAAATAGCTGGTTTTGTTTTGTAAAC